ACACCAGTCGGCGGCGACGGAGGCAGGCCGGTGGTGAAGTCGTAGACGCCCAACAGCGGCGGCATAATAGGCCAGCCGTGCAGGCGGAAACACCAGTCGGCGGCGGCGAAGGCCAGCCGGTCGGTGAAGACATGGACGCCCATGAACGGTGGTGTGACCGACCAACTGTATAGGCGATGACACCAGTCGGCGGCGACGGAGGCAGGCCGGTGGTGAAGTCGTAGACGCCCAACAGCGGCGGCATAATAGGCCAGCCGTGCAGGCGGAAACACCAGTCGGCGGCGGCAAAGGCCAGCCGGTCGGTGAAGACATGGACGCCCATGAACGGTGGTGTGACCGACCAACCGTATAGGCGATGACACCAGTCGGCGGCGACGGAGGCAGGCCGGCGGTGAAGTCGTAGACGCCCAACAGCGGCGGCATAATAGGCCAGCCGTGTAGGCGGAGGCACCACTCGGCGGTGACGGAGGCAGGCCGGCGGTGAAGTCGTTGTTGTTATCAGCAATGGCGGTGGCGAAGACAAGCCGGCAGAGTGGACTCGCGGCCGATCGACCGGAAAGCTGAGACGCCTCGAGTCCATGACTAGCATCAATCGCCTCAATAGTGCCGCGTAATTATATGCGAACAACAACAAAAAATAGCAAGAGATTAATCTGAGATTAAAAATCAATATGATAAATAATGATAAAAATCAGATTGAGTTTCCCCCTGACTGATTTGGATCAAGTCAGAGAAGAGGAGCTTGAAGAAGTGGTCGACGGAAAGGAAGTGAAAACTCCCAAAGCGAAAACGAAGTCGGCGACTCATGAAATTGATTCCATCGCGCTCGTTGATAGGAAACTCGACGCAACCCCTACCTGGCGCGCCAACTGTCGAAACATGAATTCGGCAATAATAAAACGGGGTAGCGTACGAGACCTAAAAGTGGATGGATGTGGAGACAAAGGATTTAGACAGGTTCAGGCCCTCTCAATGAGAGGTAATACCCTACTCCTGTTTGGGGATTTGAATCCGCCGGGTGTATTATAGATCTGACGATCTAGTTGTCTCATGCCCCCTAGAGGGCCTCCTGCCCACCTTATATAGGACGGGGGGCAGGATTACAAGATAGAAACCTTAACCAATACGGTATCGGTTTCCTAAATCTACTTTACAATCTTATCAAACCAGGACTTTAGGCCGTTTCATAATACACAGGGAAACGTAATACCCAAGTCATGATCTGTTACATATTATATATATATAAATTATCCCCTATGACTAGTCGGATAACCATGCCGTATGGGTATGGGGTACCCACAATATCCACAATGTATATATGCACATATTTGATAATTTTATTAAAATTAGCATGATTTGAAATGATAACTCTGAACAGCCTGAAAAGATTGACTAGAGAGAGATAAAAAGAGAGAGAGATGAGAAAGGAAGAGAAGAGAAGGCAGCTTGTGGAAGAAGCTTTGCCTGAGGCAGGCTTGTCTGTGTTTCACCCGTCCCTTTCTCCTTTTCCTTCCTCCCTGCTTTTGATCCATCCATCCATCGCTTTGTGAATTGGTGATGCGCTTGTTTGGTTTTGCCCCTGCTTTGCTTTGCTTTGCCATCACGTGACTCTGCCTGCGAACAAGATGAACATGAACATGAAGATGAGAGAGAAGAGAAGAAATTGGCAATGCCAAATGCCAAAAGCAGCCACAGTAAAAAAAAAAAAAGGCATCGAGCACACCACCATTCCTCTCGTACGCCGACGCCGTATACGTATAGTCGTATACTAGTCTACTACTACCAAATGGGGTACCTCTACGTTGCTAGTACGGCGCCAAAAAAGGCAAAGCGCCGCCCGATGGGAAACGGACGGCGGGGACGACACGTATGGTCCCACACAAGATCAAGAGGAGTGGGTCCCCACGCGCACTGCCCGCTCCCCACCAATCATCGCTCCGCTTTTTTTTTATTATTTTTGTGCTTCGTGTCCTCTCGTCTCGTCCTCGTCGCCGGCGGCTGCTTCTCTTCCCAACCCAGGTTCGCCACGTCCTCGATTGCCACGCCTTAGGCTGTCTGTCAGTGATTAAACATGTCACAAAAATTCATTTATTAAAAAACAGAGGAAGTATTATAAATCAAGTTTATATACTACCTTCTCCGTCCCAAAATAAGTGCAGCCGTGGATATCCGTGTCTAACGTTTGACCGTCCGTCTTATTTGAAAAATTTGTGAAAATTTTAAAAATATTTAGTCACACATAAAGTACTATCCATGTTTTATCATCTATTAGTAATAAAAATACTAATCATAAAAAATTTCAAATAAGACGAACGGTCAAACGTTGAACATGAATAGTATAAAACTGTACTTATTTTGGGACGGAGGGAGTAAAAACTATAACAAAATATTTAACACATAACAAATGTACTATCAAAATACATTAAATATTAGTTTTAGCGCAACTAATTTTAGATCCTAAATATACTTATATGCAAATAAAACGAAGGAATACGAGTTTTGAATGGTTGTCTAATGTTCGCATAATGCATACAATAATCGCTACACCGTTAATTACTCTCTTCAGTTAAATTTTTTACGGAGTTTTTTTTTGGGTACAAAGTTACCACCCATTTTCCTTGATAAATAATACTCCAATAGTCCAATATGCAACGGCACGAGAAATGCGAATCTGATCAGAATATCACCTGCAAAAACTTTGCGGAATTACGAGGGTTGTTGCACAACGATCACACTACAGATCCTTGGGAGGGAATAATGTCATACTGTCATGGCCCTTTTTGGAGCTCATAATTAATTGGGTCAAATCAAAAGCAAAAAGGCCCGGATGAAAAAGAAAAGCCTTCTTAAAAGCATGGAGGGAATTGAAGCCCACTAATTAATCATCTGTCACCATCAACCTCCCATCTTAACTTGTCCTAAGAGAAGGCTAATAGTACAGCACATTGCTAGCTCCAATTCATATATATCCAATCTAATAGTCAATTTATACAATAGATGCTTACTATACTATTAATATATGATCCCACCTGTCATACACACAATGTGTCTTGGAGTCCGTGCTGCAGCTGGCTACAGATCTGTAACCCGCTGCTCTTCTCTCTCATCGTTTATCTCATTAAAATATGTTTATAGCTGGCTAATAGCCTGCTATTGTACCTGCTCTAATTCTACTCTAGGACTAGTATCTGCCATATCATGTTCAGGATTTGCTTTGTTTGTTATGTTTCGTCATCGTGTCGATCACCTCCAACTTTCACAAATTTGGACCAAATTCGATCGATCGCCACCTGCTTTAAGAAGCCCAACTTAAGATGATGTTTTCCTCTCTCTTGCTCTCTCTCTCTCTCTCTCTCTCAATTGTCTTCAGTGATCGAGAATATTAGCTATAAGAAGTTCATGTTTTTTTAAAGAACGAGAGCAGAATGTTACTATGAAAGTGTGGTCTAAATAAAAGTGATCGATTCTTTGTTAGTATAATAATTAGCTTGATGTTTAAAGAGGATGAGCCGACATTGTTTGGTTGTGCCTGTCGGTTTGAGCTTTGAGACAATGAGCTTTCAACAGCTTTCAACGGCTCGAGAAAAAGCTGGGAAATTATTCCACGCTTTTTTTTCATATATACAGACTTTGGTAAAAATGTTTCATGTTTGAAGTTTAAACAGCAAACGTGTATCATGACACAATCTCGAATTGTCGCGTGCAAATCAAAGTCATTATTTCGTCTCTTGACTGATGGTAACTGTGAACGACCGTAGTAGTAGCAGTAGCTTAGTGCGCGTCTAATTCAGGGCAGTTCGATGTCAAAACGATTTCCAAATTTGCTGCAAATCTAGACCGTGGAAGTCAAAAACACACTAGGATTAGAAGAACAATCCAAAGACTTTTGCACTCCGCCACTTGCACACACTGTTTTTCTGCTCATCTGTTTTTGGTTCACTGTTGAATCCGAGAAAGGAGTGTCTGAAACGCTTGGCAATACTTGTCAACTAGCTAACCTAACTGAACTATCCAACTCATGTAATTGTAGATATTTGTCTGATATTAGCAAGGACCTAGCCTTGAAATTAATGTCTTAATCTTAGAATATTAAGCTTAGGGCTGCTGCTCTGGCATAGTATTCGTCAAAGCTTCTAGAACTTTGTTTTCTCATGCACTTCCTAGTACTCCCTCCGTTCCAAAATATAAGACACAACCATCATTAACCCAAAGATCAAGAAACAATTATTATTATCTCCTAGTTTGGATCACCCTAATAAATATAATGCATGCATCCAATAGAATTAGAGATCTTGAGGGTGGAGGATTTAAAAAAGTAATAATTTAATGGAGATGATGTTCTAATTAATTGTATGCATGCATACATGCCTTATATTATGAAACATCCAAAAAAAAGTAGTTGTGACTTATATTATGGAACGGAGGGAGTATTTCATTTTATCATAGAGAGCTCAACACGACTTAGTGTATGATTAATTAAATAATTAGCTAATCTCTCTTACACACAAAACGAGCGGCTCATTAGTGTATGATTAATTAAATAATTAACTATTTCTTTTAAAAAATAATTAATATATTTTTAAAGCAATTTTTGTATATATCTATTTTTTAATAAAAACATCATTTAGCAGTTTGAAAAATGTACGCGTGAAAAACGAGAGAGGTGCGCTGGAAAAAGGAAGGAAATGAACTCAGCCAGTGGTTCAAATGCGTACTAGTCATTTTAAATCCAGCCATACGAATCCAAAAAATGGTCACCAAAAATTCGCCAAACAAGTCCAAACTCACTCCAAACTCCAAAGGCGTCCGTTACTCCGGTGAGACGAGACAGCGAGCTCCCAGCCTCCCACCCGTCTGCCACTGACAGGACGTGCCCACAGACCGGCAGTGGCAATTCCCGTAAATTACGACGGAGCGTGGGGTCAGGCTCGTACGCGGGAGTGGGGGATCGGAGAGGAGAGAGGAATATGCAAAGCAAATCCCCCCTCGAGTCGTCGACGCGGTAAAGCCACTCGCTTTCTTCCCCACCACGTCTCCTCCTCTTCTCCTCCCCTAAAATCCCCAATTCCGACCAAACCCTAGCCCCCCCCAAATCGCCTCACTCCACCACCCCACGCTTCCTTCGCCGCTAAGTATATCCCTCCCGGCGACCGCGAATCGGATCTTGAGAGTGAGAGAGAGGTTGGGGGAGGTGGATGAGAGGGCGGAGATGACGGTGATGGAGCTCAAGAAGCTGCCGCTCGGGTTCAGGTTCCACCCCACCGACGAGGAGCTCGTCAGGCACTACCTCAAGGGGAAGATCACGGGGCAGATCAGGAGCGAGGCCGATGTCATCCCCGAGATCGATGTCTGCAAGTGCGAGCCGTGGGATCTCCCTGGTGAGTTTTCTTCTCCTTCCTCTCTGCTTTAGTCCTCCTTTTGCTGCAGGGTTGGTTTGGATTTCGTTGCTTGGGGTTATTTGTGCTGTTTTTTTTTGTCTCGATCGGGTGTGGTTTGCAGCTGATTCCAGGTATGGAGAGCTTGGGGGTTGTGCTCGTTTGCGTGTTTTCGTTTTTGGTTTTATTCGTTTTGAAGAAATCACTCTGGTTTGCTCTTTCTTGTTTGGGTTTTGTTTCTTGCTTTTTTTGGTTTTTGGTTTTATACCTGTAGCCGTGTGGTTTTGGGGATTTTTTTTTGGTTTGATCACTACTGGGGTTTCCCCCATTTTTGGCCATTCTTTCAGTGATTCTTTTGTTTTTGTTTATGCTGCTTTATTGCTGGATCTCGGTGGTTTCTGGGCGGGATTCTGATGAGCAGATTACTGCTGCTTGCTGTGGTTTGCATCTTTCTCCGTGAGGAATTTTTTCTCCCCATGGGGATGCTAGTTTGATGCGATTCCCTCGAACTCCGCTAAAAATGCCTAAATCCTTTATTAAAATGTGCCCGAGATGCTGTTTGGTGTGATGCGGTTCAAATCTTTGACTTCGTTGATGCAAATTTTACTAATCGACCTGTCAAACTCTGAGAAAGATTCCATTTCTGACGCGTGTTCCTCTTGATTTTGTGGCGGGTGCGTTCAGATAAGTCTCTGATCCGCTCCGATGATCCGGAGTGGTTCTTCTTCGCGCCGAAGGATAGGAAGTATCCCAATGGGAGCAGGTCGAACAGGGCGACGGAGGCCGGGTACTGGAAGGCCACCGGGAAGGACAGGGTGATCAGGTCCAAGGGTGACAAGAAGAAGCAGCAAGTAATTGGCATGAAGAAGACGCTCGTGTTCCACCGGGGGCGTGCGCCGAAGGGTGAGCGGACTGGGTGGATCATGCATGAGTACCGCACCACCGAGCCGGAGTTTGAGTCCGGTGAGCAGGTATGCGATAGTGCTAGTACCTTGTTTTGTAGCTTTCCTTTGTAGGTTTATTTTCTCAGCAAGTTCATGATCAGTATGTCAAGATTTTTAGCGACAATGTTGTTATATATAGGTATGCTCACAGTTCACAGCTCGGTTGTGAGTTTACAGCAAATGAGAATGTCAAATGAACACTGCAAATATCTTTTGGGAAAAAAAGAAACATAATCATCTGATGTTTCTGTTCTGGTATCTTAGTATTCGTATTTGTATTTTCAGGGAGGTTACGTTCTCTACCGGCTGTTCCGAAAGCAAGAGGAGAAAATTGAGCGACCCAGTCCGGATGAAGTGGATAGAAGTGGATACTCACCCACTCCTTCTCGTTCAACTCCTGATAACATGGAACCAATTGAAGACGGAAATACACCATTAAACAGGGAATCTCCAGAATCTGCTCTGCATGAAAGCCCAATTGATTTGCCTGCTCTAACTGAGGCTCAAGCTGCGCCAATTACAAGGTGGCTTGCAGACAGAACTGATAACGCGACAACAAATGAAGTAAACATCTCTCACATGCCTCATCATGGGCTTGATGGAGGAGCTAAGGTCAGTAAAGTTGCTTGTAGGTCTATTAAACTTGTATGATCATTTTATAATTGATTTATTTCTCTAGCCAGTTAACTTCCTAGGTGTGAATTCCTTCTAATTGTTTGCGTGATTCTTTTGATATAAGCAGGCTAGCCCTTCAGCTGGTGCTTTCCCTCAGCTGATTGGTTCACAACAGAATATCCATGATAATAATGAATTAGCCACAGTTTCTGCACCCATGCTACCACATGAAGACTTCAATAATTTCCCTCTAGGAGCCATTGGTAATTTTGATGGCAATATGAATCCTCGAGATCCAGTGGAGGAGTTCTTGAATCAAACCATTGCTGATCCAGATGAGCATTCATCAACAACATCAAAGGCTCAGTATGATTCGGACACTGGAATCATACCAACTGAGTTTGAGAACCATGGGGTGATGCAGGTAATGTTGTTCTCCCTAATCTGCACCTGCTGTTTAGGTTATAGTTATTGTTTTTAATTCTTATTATCCATGGAACCTTTGCAGGGTGAATTCATGGATGATCTGAGTGGGTTGGAAAATTTAGATTTCTGGCCAGATGACCGAAATCCCCAGTTGAGTGCACTGTATGAGGACACACCATTGCTGCCTTATGATAGCACCGACCAGGATGTGCTCTCCATGGACTCTGGTGCTGAATCCTTGCAAGATCTATTCAACAGCATGGACGATTCAAACGCGAGGAATAATGTATGGGGCAACGAACCATTCCTCCAGGGGACTGGATTTCCCATGTCTTGGCCGTTACAGCCGAACTCCGCATTTCCAAACCAGGGCACTGCAAATAGGAGGCTCATGCTACAGCTATCAGAATCATTATCTCCTGATTTTGATGTGAGCATGACTAGAGATGAGTGTGAAGATGAGGAACCAGGTATTGTTGTAACTTCGAAGTATGTGAATGAAGCTCCTGAGGAGTCAACTGCAGAAAAGGATATGCCTTCTGATGGAGATGATGCTGAGCCAACGGGTATTACTATCCTGAGGCGACGCCATGCTCCAACTGCAAGTTCGTTTTCTGATGGAGATGATGCTGAGTCAACGGGTATTACCATCCTAAGACAGCACCAAGCTCCAAATGCAAGCTTGCTTTCTGATGGAGATGATGCTGAGTCAACGGGTATCACTATCCTAAGACGACGCCAAGCTCCAACTGCTAGCTCAGCTAGTTCATTTACTCAACAGGGTGCTGCAGTGCAAAGGGTGCGGCTACAATCAAACCTTGATGCAGCACCGTGTTCTAGCGTTGATGGTTCATCAAGTTGCATCATAAATGAAGGTGAAAGTGAACGCACCATGGAGAAACCTGAGGTGAGTTATATTACCCTTAAACTAATGCACTCTTGTTCCATGGGAATAAGTTAAATCCTTTATATTCCATAGCCAGTTTGTTATTAATTGTACCAGAATGCAGGTAATTCCTTTGTCATGAACTACTAATGGATCCTGGTTAATTTCTTGTAAAAAATAAATAAAAGAACTCTAGGCTGATTATGTACTGCATGCTTTGAAAGTTCTGTTGCTTTAGAAACGCTAATTTTCTCTTACGTTGTTCTTGCCAGATTGAAGAGAATGCAGGAAGTACCTTGGCTGAAGGTGGGACTTGCCATGAGGATGACCAGAAGGAGCATGGTAATACCACTTTTGAAATATTTCATCCAGAAAATTTGTGATTTACCGTTCCTTCTCTCGTAAGCTAATCTGATATATTGACATGTAGATGCTTCAGCAGCAAATGCTAAATCTGTTCTGAGGCTGCGGAAGACAGCAGAGGGAAGCGACAAGGAGAACAAGCAGGAGGAAGAGGAGGGTGTTCTTGCTTCACATGTGAGAGCACCAGGGAATAAGAGGGGATTCCCATCGTACATCATTTGGCTGGTTCTCTCTGTGGCTCTGGTCCTGCTTATCTCCCTTGGGATTTATGGATGGGTGTAAACAGCTGCTCCCCTGATGGTCTTCAAGATGACCATGCTTACTGGCACAGGCTCCCAACATTGACCTGCTGTGCTGAGTGACCTGTTGTACATATTGCGTCTTACGCCCTTGTGTTTAGACGGCGGTTGCTAGACACCCTGGAGTGTTTGTTCCCCTTCCAGCGTGCTGCGGCAGAAGAAAAATCCAAAAACAAAAAAAAAAGAGGGGCGAAAACGAAGAAAAAAGAAGAGGTAGTGAATGAGGAAAGTTGTTGTAGATGTTCTGTGACTTAGGTGCATGGTAGTATTCCTTCCTGCTGTTATTGCAGATGTTAGTAGCCACATACCCTAGTTGTTCAGCAGTTGTAAGTCAGGTTAGGGATATGGTTACTTTTGTCTATGTAATGTTCTGTAGCATTATCTGAACCTGCTTTATCGGATGCAATTTCGTTTTCCTTTCAGTAAATCTCTGTGCTGCAAACTGTAGTTCCTGTGTAAGTTTTGATGTGTGAAATGTTAATACTTCTAGTACTAATATACTATTGATGATGAAATGAGGAGGCATGAATAGACTGGTGAGGTGCAACCGTGCAACATCCTATGAGGGGGGCACATGAGAATGTGATTGGGATTGATTGTTGCTGCTGCTGCTTTATCTTCACATGTGGTGAGGATCTGCTGAGCAATTGCAGTAGGGGGCTGAAGTTTACTTCCCTACAACTTTTAATTGCTGCAGCTTGCTGAAGTTTCCTGCATGTTCTTGTTTTACTGTAGCAGGATACTTTGAAAGAGAGAGTTGAGCGAAAGTTGAAAAAAGCTTCATGCAAACGTGAGGATGGTCACCTGCTGCCTAGTGGATTATGGGCCAAAGCTGATTTTGATCTTTTAGAAAATGATTTTAAGGGCTGGTTTGGGTTGTGATCTAAATTGGCCTTACCAATTTTTGTCGATGCCAAATTTTGGCAAGTTTTGGCATGGCTAATTTTGGCAAGGCAAAGTTGTGTTTAGATTGAAGTCAAAATAGTCTAAGTTAACTATTGAAATGGCCTATTTTCTTAGGCATGCCAAAATTTGGCTTCAAACCAAATAGACACTAAACACTGTTAAAATTGCCAAATATTGGTAAGGCCAATTTAGACCTCAAACCAAACCGGCCCTAAGAGTAGTTTTTCTTCTTCACTCTTATCGTACAGCTCCGCTCTCATGATTATAAAGATGATACTCCCTCTGTTTCAGATTACAAGTCGTTTTGATTTTGGACAAAGTTAAACTGCTTCAAGTTTAATTAAATTTGTAGTCAAATATAGTAATATTTGTAGCACCAAATTAATTTTATTAAATCAATAATTGAATACATTTATCTTGGGCTGCAAATGTTACTAATTTTTTTATAAACTTGGTCAAGCTTAACCAAAACAACTTATAATCTGAAACGGGGGAGTAGGTTAAAGGGACACGAAAAGTACTCTTAAAATCAAACTTCAAAATTTAAAATCGTTTGGATTATACTCAAATCTGCGATAGAGTAAGGTCTTGTCGCCAAACAGAGGGTGCAGCCCCTTGAACACTCCGGCCCATGAAGCAGAGCCCACCTTCCTATCGTGCCGTGCGTCCACTCATCTGGGCCACCAATCAGTATCGGGCCTACCACGGCCTGATACTGATCATTTCTTTAACTCCCTAGAAAAAATTATTGTTTTGTTGCCCAAATTAGTCGTAGTCAACACGCGACAAATATCAGTGTTTCACACCAAAATTAGAAGTTTGGTTGAAATTAAAACGATGTGACGAAAAAGTTAGAAGTTTGTGTGTGTAGGAAAGTTTTGATGTGATGAAAAAGTTTAAAACTAAACTCGGCCATGTGTATTAACGGCCATATCTTTTTTCTTTATTCAGCTCTGGATCATAGATACAGCTATGGTGTTTTAACTTTTCATTAAGGATGCACGTTAAATGAGATGAATTACTACCATAAACTTAAAAATTAATTAATACGGAAAGTTTCTAAAAAGAGACGGTAATCAAATATTCATTGTCCAACATGGCAACATCAGAATTTTAGACAGATAACACCACACTAGGGACTTGTTTAGCTGCAAAATTTTTCTTCAAACTTTCAACTTTTTCATCACATCAAAACTTTTTTACACACACAAACTTCCAACTTTTCCATCACATCGTTCCAATTTTAACCAAATTTTTAATTTTGGTGTGAACTAACCACACCCTATTTATATATTCGGAAGCAGAACTCGGTCCCGTTGACTTTGAACAGTTCTTTCAAAACAAGTCGCATGAAAAAACAGAACACCAACAAAAAAAAACAACTTTTTAAACAATTGCTTGACGCAGCTCTGCACATTGCCACAAGAATTTCTTTGTCCAAACAATTCCTTTTTTCAAAAAAAAAGGAGAATGTCTTTCTCCAAACATTTGGAAAAAAAAACAAAATCCTTTCCAGATTTCCCAAACCAAATCCTTCTCTCGGAAGCTTTGCATTGGAAAACGGAGAGATTTAAAGGCTCAAAGCGAACGATAATCTCATATAAAAATGGTCATAGCTGCCCCTCCAACTTCCTCGTTATTTACGACTCTTGCCACTCTCCGCCGCCCCACCAAACCCCACCGGCGACCTCACCGGAGATGACCTCCTCCTCCACCGCCGCCGCCGCCATTCAATCCGCCTCGTCCTCCACCCTCTCCCCGCACGCGGCTCCCTTCGCCCTCCCCGTCCGCCCGGCCCGCGCCCCTCTCCAAGATGGTAACAACCTGCCCTCCTCCTCCTCCTCCTCCTCCTCTACCCTCTTCTTGATTGTCTCTCATGCCCCGCCACCGCGCGTTCTTCGGCTGGTACGGCGTGTTCTTCCGCTCCCTGATGATCGGCACCGTCGATTTGGTGCGCGGGGGGGGGGGGGGGGGGGGCTTTGCGAAGGATCCGGTCTTTGTGTGTGGTTCATTCGCGTCAAGTGTGTGAGGAGTGAGGTTTTTCGATTTTCAGTTGGTAGAATTTAGTTGAGATTAAGTAGTACCTGAAACCGATCGGCGATCATCAAAATTTTTGTTATTGTTCTGCACTTTTGAATTTACTTACTCTCTCTCGGTTTCATCTGAGAGATGAGTTTGTTCATTGAGTATCAAATCATTGGCGCAATAATGTGGATGTTTATTTGGGGCTATTTGCGCCGCAGTCTGATTTCATGCGATTATCCTATCTTATTTTCAGTTAGTATTACTTACTCCCTCCAGTTCCATAATTCTTGACGTTTTAGACAAGTTTAAAGTTAAACTTTTGTAACTTTGGTTGTTAATAACTTTAAAAGTATTTAGTTTAAAGGAACAACATTTATAGATTTATCTTTCAAAGTACTATAAGAAAAGTAAACATGCATTTATTTATTGTATATATTATAATAGAAAAATAAAATCAAAGATATATTTTGGAGATTGTGTCATTGTCCAAAACGTCAAGAATTATGGAACGGGAGGGAGTATGCATCATGGCATTGATTTCACGTTTGTTCTTGGATGCTTAGGTGATGTTTCTAGGTCGATGGATGGTAGCATTGTGGTGCATGGATTAGATAATAAAATTTTAGGAGATGCTCATCCATCATCGTCGTCAGCAACATCTTGCTTTCGAACACAATCATTTGACACAGTTTTACCAGCCTCCACATGTGGAGCGAACGCAAGTCAGCCGAGGGAATGGCCAGAAATTGGCAGCGATGCAGCTTATCCATCCTCGATTTGTTCTACTTCTGTGGTATTTTCATATCCTTCAGTCATGATGGCCTCCAATCATAACCAGAAAAATCCCTTGTACCCTGGGATGGGAAGTAATGGAAGCAGATGTTCAACAGTCAAGATAGAAAGCCCACCAAATAAAATATCTGAAGCCAATAAAATCAGTTGTGGTTTAACGAGCAAGTCATCTATGACAAAAGATGTTAGTAAATCCAACGAAGATGCTGTGAAAAATGCCCCCTTTCCACAAATTTTGGAAGTTGGTATGGAGATCTGCTCCAAAGAGGCAAGCCCTGTCTCCCATACGAGGCCTCTTCATATTTCAACTGCTGGCTCTGATCCATGCGATTCTATGGCTGATGGTGTGAAAACAGAACCATCAGAATGCTATGTGGATTCACCATGTTGGAGAGGAAGAGGAACTTCACTTTCTCATCAAACGTCAGTGACACAGTTAATAAATCAAGAATCAGAGGCTTTTGATGCTGGCCAAAAGAAGAGCACTAGCACTGTTCAGCATTGTGAGGTTCTGACCGCATCTCAAAATTTGGACACTATCGAGAATAAGCAAAACCAATCCCAATCTCATGTTGAATTGTCTGTGTCTATGAAATCTGGAGACAATGGTAAAAAAGAGGAAGAAGTTTCCCACAATAAGGAGCTTGAGAGTGCAAAACAATGTGCAGCAAAATGCACCGCAGAGCAGAAACACAGTTTGGAGCTGAGAGATAATAGCGTGAAGCGATCTGGTCTAAACTTTGCTGCTCCTGATTTTATCCCTTCATCAGTTGGGAAATCAAAAATTGTCAAAGGTCAGTCTAACTCCATAAAAGTGCTTTATATGATCGTGCCTGTCTCATGATTTGTATTTCAAGTTATTATATCCTTTATTTTACTTCATATTCACAACCATGTTTAAATATTTGTCACATTCAGGGTCCTGTTCCACGACAGGAAGGAACACTTCTGGAATTCTCAAGGCAATGGGGAATTTGTCAGAAATGCTTCGCGATAGCTGTTTGTTGGATGAAAATGAGCTCGATGAGCATGAGCACACTCTCCTCCAATCAGTAATTGAGAATCTTCAGACATGTATTGATAGGAAAAAAAAGGTGCATTGTTTGTGGTCTTTCTTTTAGTTCTTACTAGATTAGGCTTTCTGTAAAATGCGTTACTTTGAGCATGTGCACAACCTGCAACTTGTATTTTATTGGCATCTTCCTTCATACAACTCTTTCAGAAGATTTCATCAGCTCATCCATTTTGTTATTAGTAAAGGATTAGTTTAACTGTTAGTTTATTATTGTTAGTCCTCACATGTGTAGGATAACAAAGTTTATGATTATTGCTGGAGAATGCTTCCCAAATGCACATGCACAATCACCACCATCAAATGTTACCTTGAGTAGCAAAGTCCAAAACTGGAACAAACAATCCCACCTTCTCTTCATTATGATGTCCTTACACACAAACACTTTGGATGGGTAGGACAGTACATATACCCACATGATGCATTTCCATTTGTGACTTTCTAAATCAGTGATCCCATAATATTTTTTTCAATTCTTTCTAGGGTCCCATTAATGATGATGGCTCTAACAAGGCAGGACTAAGGGCTCCTCATTCTCAGTCCGCCGTTTTAAAATCTTATGCAGGGGACTACAGAGGTAGTTGTACAACCAATGGTGGAAATGGCATAACTGTAAATAAATCTGTGGGTCCTACTCGTGTGCTCAGTGATTTTGGGAAGAACAGCTTGACATGGTCCCAGGTATTCTTTTGTACACATAGTAGCTCGTGCTGTTTGTGAAAAATGTGCAGAGGGTTTTCCAAAATGTTCTTTAAAATCTTTATAAGCACAAAAAGGTCAGTAGTAATTTTTACAAGATACAGTATATGACAGAGTTTGAGCCTGCAACATTTTGTTAGGAATTTACCCCCTTTCCTTTGTCTATAACCTTCTTATTAGTTGAGTAAGTTGCACTTTGCAATGGGTAAAGTGTACCTTGTTTTGCTTTGCACCAGATTTAGCACATACTTTCAATTTGCGCTTATTGATTTCACTTAACACCTGGATGCATCATTCAATCTATAGAAATGTCATGGCATTTCATAAAATCTCGTAAAACATGGTCTAAATTCAAAGAGTTTCACAGGTTGTACTCATATTTTTCGAGATTTCTCTTCAATTATATGATGCTACCTAGTGCCATGTGAAGCTTATTTCAATATACCCTAGTTTAAAGTGAAAGTATGAACTAAAACTAGTGTAAAGTGAAACAAGGTATACTCTACCCGGTAGGCTGGTACAATGTGCAATTTACTCTCATTTAGTCTAGTACACTTTCTTACAAGCTATTATTAATGTTTGGCCAGCCTTCATTCAACAATATTCCAAGGATGATATCCTGTGAAGAAGACCACTCACAGATTCTCATTTATAAGAATCTGTGGATTGATGCTGAGCGTACAAATTGTGAGTTGAAGTATCTACTGAAACAGAACCGTATCAAAATTGGCCAAGAATCCAGTATGGCTCATATTGGTGGTCCAAGAAATCCTTCTTTCCAGGCATGTGATTTAGGTGCAGGTCCAAGTAATTCTTATGGAGCTGCCATATCTTACCCACCAACTCTGAGTTTTCCTAAGGGTGATTCTACTGAAGAGACATCAAGAGCAAGGAACACTGACCTCCTTTACACTGGTGATTGCATCCGGTTAGGAGATAACAGTGTGCCTAGCTGCTCTGCAAGCACCATCAGCCATCCTACTCGACCGAATAATTTTCAGGGTGACCTTTTAACAGGCTTGGAGGAAACTGGCTTGCATCATCATGCTCAGCCAGTACCGCAACTCGCACCGAGCAGAGTTCACAGGGAACCGAGAATAAGCACTATGGATGAAGCGTCAGGCCACTCATGCTTCACCGGAGCAGACGGCATTTTGAGTGGCAATTCTGAATATGGCTTGTCATCAGATTGGGAGCATGTTCTGAAGGAAGAAATCGGCTGGAGCTGAAGGGATCTGCCAGCCAGATTGCTACTTAATTTGTACATATATATATGCTTGAGTAATTAGAGATGCAGGAATTCTGCTCATGGGTTTATTTTGAGTTTTTTTGTCTGATAAGGCTGAGGATAGCAGGCACTGCTTGGCAAAATGGTGCTTTCCAGCCTCTGAAAAAACAGCACCACTTTTATGTATGCATGTCTAATTAGCTTCTTATGAACAATTGTATAAGAACTCCTAAGTCCTAACCTAGCTGCACATTTTGGCCATGGCAGTGCCAAATTGTCACTATGTGAATTGTTCTCTTGCAACTAAATTAAGCAAGCAATTAGATCCACATGATAAGAATATGCACATACCTGAAAGTGTGATGATGTTAACAAGATCACAAAATGGAGAACACGTTAGGTACCGAGGAACTTTCGACACACTATCCAACCGAACAACTTAAAAATTCTTAAATTCTCTGTAACTAATGGGATCCTGTGCCAACTACTTCCCGGGGATTTGCCTTGTGATCTCCAAGAGTACTTTGTGTTCCCTAACTCCTTCAAGAGTTGCTGAGATTCTTGGTTGATACTACATACTAATATAGCAGAGAGTCAACATAATATATATTTTTGTGCTCTTTTACTTACCACTCGATGTCAACAAGCCTGAAATACAAAACTTAATATGTGTGATTAAAAATAGTTATCTACGGAAATAAAATTATGTGCTAATCATTCCTATGGCAAATCTACGAAAGATCACTTTGTGAGAAATCCAATTAAGTACTTCTCTAGATCAGAACAAAAGGATCTCCCATTAAAATATCAGTTTTTTTAATAATTAATATGGTAATGTTGGCATCAATATTATTGACAAGCTTCACTACATAGAACACGTGTGATTCATCTGAAAAACATTCTTTTAACACAGGCTTTCGTGCAAAGAGTGAAATTCTTTGGAGATCAATCATGCAAGGATTGGAAATTAGTTCTGCACTTCTACAATTTACATGGCTGAAAAAATTATGGTAGTACTTCAGTAGTAGTCTAAAGAGGTTAGTGGGGTTCAGTGGAGAAATCCAAATATGTAGTTAATTTTCTGAATAGTATTGTTTCCACTTGCATGGAAGTGAGAGAGCTAAAAAAATGTTGCTTACTCCCGTTAATGCAATTTGAGATAATCAAGACATATCATCATTGTATAAAAATTGGTTTTGATAATTATGGAATAAGTCTCTTCCATCATGCACATGCACACATGGGCGCATGCATGATGAGTACATCAAATCTGTATTTTGAAAATCAAGTTGAAATCCATCAGATTGAAATTGATAATTAATCTTCTTTTAGAGCAACCAAATGTACGTAGTTATGTACAGTAGGTAAAACTGATCATCAATTTGTTTGGAAGGCAGACAAGTGATAACATAAATTTAGCAAGGGGATGCACGGTCCTCTATCAACTTGGAACATACTTAATGCTTAAACCAATCTGTAATTTGTAGCCTTGTGCTGATTTGTTTGTGCAAGTTGATTATGCATGTGTCCCATTCATCCTAGTCAAATGCATGCTGCTCCAAGAGTGCAAACCCTGTGAGATCGATGTGTATTGAATCAGTCATTTTGAGGTACGTGTTCATATTAGTACCCTCTCCACTTTATCAAAGACCTTTAATCAATTAATTAATTACATCTTTCTACTTTAACTTGTCTGAGATGATGCGTGCAGGAATGAACTTTGTACTGTTACTAATAATTTTGGAGTGTTAGAATTATTCTCTCTTCATATATTTTATTTCATGTTATACATGCGTCATGTTTTTTTTTCGCCAATTCAACACAATGCACATGCACGCCCAACATTACAGTAATACCTTTCGTCTGTTTGGCAACTTTGAGAAATAGGATTAGAAGTTTAGAGGTGGAAGTTTAGAGTTTAATCTTTTACTTTCCGTCGCTTGTTTGATATACAGTAGATATGCAAATTATCTCCTAACAATTCCCCCAACACCCTTAGAGATAATTAAGTAGGCGTGTTGTACTGTTGTGTTAGACGTGTATTACAGGGGAACATATCCTGCACACAAGTTTCCGATGAACGTACACACCATGCAAACTAGCTAACAAATGTCACCGAACTTTTTTTTTAAAAAAAAGTTGTACATGTAGTTGTATTGTATATATATATGTGTGAAATCTCATATTAAAATTTGTCTTATATTGCTCTCTATATGATGAATTTTAATACGAGATTTCACACATATATATACAATACAATTACATGTACAACTTTTGTGGTTTAGGTTGTACATGTAGTTGTATTGTATATATATGTTCATCAAATTTTCTTTTTTTGTCACAGCTAAAATATATAATAAATTTAGGGTTAAGATTTTATAAATAGGTATAACCTATTAGAAGTACATGTATAATTTTTTAAAATATTTATTAATTACTGTGCATGTTATGTACGATGAAATCATGTGCCACAGGTACTAGCATAAATATTAGCTAGGGATCGATATATGTATACGCGTCTTTTACTAATCAAGCACATGTCTTCGATCATATCGCGTAGAACTAAACAATCTAAATATATAATCGCGATGTTTTCAAATGATTCATCGCTAATTAGTCCTAGCTAGCTAGTCGAGATTAAGTTGCACAATCGGGGTGCATGCTAGCTCTAACCAGCTCCGGCTATACAGAAATGAACAGTTATCGGTATATATAAGACCTATAGCTTAATTTTGACCATGGTTTGCACATATATTTGTCTATTTGCATTCCAAAGAACTAATTAAGTTTGCTTCTAATGCATTATATTATTGTTACTTTTTTTACTCCATCATAGTAATCGGGATCGCGTAAAGGCAAGAAGGGTGCAACTTTCAGGCACATTGTAAGGATGACCAATCTATATATAACCCAAATTAATCACAGTGCATTTTACATAAGCAAAAAAACCATCATAAGATCAGGTTAATTAATTACCCGTTTCTCCATATATATATATGGCTCGATCGAACTGTAGGCCACCATGCATATATATACCAGCAAAATGAAAGATAATAAGAGATTTTTTCGATCTGGTCATATACTAATTTGGATAAATGTACATTGAAGGAGAAACTTATAGATCAAGAGCCCAAGTTAACAAGATAAATAATACTAGCATAAAATTAATAAAAGAGACAGATATATACTAGAAATTAAACAGATTACAGATAGAAACCGTACGTGGCTTTAGCCCTGGTAGAAATAAAAAAAATGTTTCTTTCATTCAAATAATGGAACCACGCATGCATGCATATTTCGTTTTCCTTGCTTATTCGGTCAGATGCATATAGATCATTGTTTCATTCCAAAGAACTAATTAAGTTTGCTTCTAATGCATTATATTGTTACTATGTTAACTCCATCGTTTCTCATTTAATTTATAAGTACGTGAATTGAATTAACTCATTACTGAATTAAAGCAGCCTGATCGAAAGCATATATATGTAGTGATCAAATCCAGCTCCTCCTGTATATACAGCTTATAAGAGCATATATATATATCGAGCTACCACACGTACGTATTCTTAATTAGCTAGATGGATATATATATATATCCAAGTATACAATTATATATACGTTAATTAATTAGCTATATGTATATACATTGTATACCACACGTATATATAAGTAGTCCATGGGGTATTTTCATATACAAATTTTGTGCATATGCATGTAATAATCTGGAGATTTTTTTAGAAAATAGGATAAGATGATCAACCTCTACATCCAAACAATACACACACACACACACACACACACACCCAATATATAATCTACATATAGGGGATAATTAAACTATCGTACATATAAATCTCACAGAATCGGAAGAAAAAGCAAATTTAACTTATAAAGGACAGACACGACGACGAAATGGAGTGGAAAGTCTAAAAACACACGCAGCAAGTTGTAGACTTACCTTTTGATATATATGCAACATGCATGCATGGAGCACAGCATGGCATATGCATAAAAGTCATGAAGAAACTGATCATTCTCAATTCACAATTCACATGCATGCTTAATATTGGTGGCTATAAACATATAATTAATTTGCATAAAATTAAATTGAGAGTGAACAAATGGGCATAAAATTAAGAAGAATCAAGCATCACCCAAAAAACTACTGCAATTGACCGTGATTTGGAACACACATGACCACTTCATCGAATCTCAAAGCCAGATCTACTGTTATTCTACCAAACAAATAAACAAAACTCTTGGGTCATATTCAAATGATCACACTACCTGGATATTAGCTCAACCCAAGAGAGACAAGTTTAAGAACCAAAAAAACAAGAACAAGGAACTAATCATCAATTAATTGGTGCAATTAGAATCATCATTATCGATCATAACAAATTGGAATTAATCAGATCTAAAGTATACTCATGAAAGCAAGTAATTAATCAGCTGTGTGATTATAGCTAGATTTTTGCAAATTAACTCTACCTATGGTTCGTCCACATCACAAGCTCCATTTCTTCACCTCGGCGATGATCACCGTCGTCGACGTCGTCGTCGGCATCCTCCTCTTCCGCCGCCGCGTCGACGTCGCCGCCGCACTCGACATTGACGCCGAAGAGCCTGAAGCTCCTCTGTCCGGAGGGCCCCACCTCGCCGCGGTGGCCGCCGGCGGCGGCGACGGGCGCCACCGTGTCCAAGAACATCGTTGCTGCGGCCGCACTCCCATGGCCGCCGCCGTAGCTGACCGGCGCCGCCGTTTGCACCCGGCCGAAGAGCGGCCACGCCGCCGCCGGCATGGCGGTGGCGGCGGAGGCGAAGCTGATGTCGCGGCCGCCGTGGCGGTGGCAGTGGCGGTAGTCGATGAAGTAGCGGCCGTCGGCGGCGCGGGAGAAGGAGACGGTGTCGCCGGCGGAGAGGCGGGCGGCGCGGACGAAGCGGCTCCACCCCTTGGTCATCACGTAGCTCTGGCTGCTCCCCCAGTAGGAGTAGCGGAACCGCCATGGCGTCCCGGCGCGGTCCTCGAAGCACAGCTGCGTGCCGGCGGCCGCCGCCGGGAAGAACCTCTCCGCGTGCTGCTTCGGCACCACCAGCCGGTTCAGCTTGCCCACGTCGCTCGGCGTCACCACCTTGTCGAACATGTGCTCCCGCTCCGCCGCCACCACCACTCCACCACCGCCGCCGCCGACGACGACGCCGTGGCGACGACCTAGCACCAGCGCCGCCGCCGCCGCAGCCGGTGCAGGTTCTTGACCTAGAGCTTGCTCCTCCTCTTCTTCTTCTTCTTCTTCCTCAGTGGCTTCTTCTACCTGCAGCAGTGCTCCTCCTAGGGTTAAGTCCATGTACATGGATGATGGATTGCTATCTTTCTCTCTCTCTCTCTCAATCAATCAAGCAAGCTAGGGCAAAGATCTGATATCTCCTTTGTTTTTTGCTTGGATTCTTTGGGTGGATCTTTCTTGGATCTGAGGGGGAGAAATAGAATCCTTCCAATCTATCTGAGGTTATGACTTCATCAAGAAAGTGATTAGTGCATGTAATGGAAGAACTAACTTAGAATGGAAATGGGGGCTTATCTCTATAGATAGCTAGCTAATCATCATCAAAAATGGGCTTTTTGAAATGATCTTGATGAGGATTAGAGGGATAGCTTAGTTAGCTAGGAATGGGAGAGAAGAGATGATGGGGAATGGGGTTGATGTGAGAGAGAGAAGCTTATTAGAGAGAGAGATTAAGGGAGAAGCTTCTTTGCAATTAGGGGGAGTGGGGCCCACCTGATATAAGTAAAATGTATACCTAGGCAGCAAGTGGCTTTGTCCTTTCTTAGATTAGCAGGGTTAGGAGACTAATGAGCTTGCTAGGAGGATGCAGGGATGTGGCTAATAGCATATTTAATTAACTATTAATTACTACCAATCAATTAATTAATTAACTAACCTTTTCAACGCCACTTATTGCTACCTGGATTAATATGCTACTACATGCATGCATGTTTGTGGTAGTTACACATTTGCAGCAACTTGATTCAGGGTTAGGTCATATGCCATGCCGTACTTAAGGATTCTTCTCTCCTTATGGCTTCAAATTAAAGTGGATGCAGTTTGCTTGAGTTGGTGTCTACTATTAGTAATTTACTTAACCTGTCTTTCATGTGCTTAATCTTTTTTTTAAAAAAAAATTGGTGTGAAGTGGTCAATCGGTACTGAGCTGAGTAAGATAGTAGATTATGAACAACTCGGAGTGAAAATATATAACTGGAACCAGGTTGCCTCTAGACTACCGGTTTGGATTTTTTATTTGCATGTTAATTTTTATATATAGTGCCAGTGGCCAGCAGCCTGAAATATCGGTATTATGCTAATAATTGGTAATAGTAAAATTAGGACTAAATACATGTTGATTAGAATCAATGGTGTTTCGTAAAAAGAAATCGATGGTGTTTTGCATCCTATTCCTTTTTTTTAGATAAAGATTTTGCATTCCTAGCTAGATCAATGGATTTCATTGGAGGTGGAAGAGAAAGGAAAAGAAAATCCAGCACAAGCAGAGCACCTGAACTTATACTTAGGAGTTACATGAGGAGAGACAATAGAACGGCCAATAATTAATTTAACATGAAAGACAGCATTTTATATAAAAAAGTAATTTTTAGATGGTTTTGAAAATTTTATTTTTTAAAATTTCAAAACGCAGGTCCTATGATTTAAATTTAAAAATGGGGAATTTTTATACAATTATTAATTTTAAGTTATTCAATGACTAATATTTCACATGAATTGGACTATTAAGACCTTATTAACTAATTCAGCCTGACGAGTGAAATAATAATGTTCAATAGACTCATCAAAACGGCTTCATTTAATTTTATACAGGGTCATATTGTATTTGTATTTTATTTTCCTGTACCAAATTGATCTTAATTTCAAAATTTCCGTAGTGCAACTGTGCAAGTAAGATTTTAGTATCTAGTCATTAGCTAATTTTTAAAGTTCAATGACTATTTCACCCATAATGTAGACATATTAGCGACACCTCACCTAAAGCCTCTCTAAGTTCTGGCTTAGAAAGAAAAAGTGAACCGTAAACTGTTAACAGGTCATGGTTGTAACATTAAATGTTTCCAAGTTGCATTGATGGTTGATTTTTTTTAGTTATGGCTGAAAATTTTAAAAAAATTGGAAAATTATCCCCCTCTTATCATCGACACTTTTGGCTGTTCTTTGATCTTGCTTCGGGTTTTACTATGTTTTATTCGTGAATTAAGTGCCCTTTTTTTTTCGAAACTCAACAGCTGTACATAAAATAAACAGACGAGAAAACAACGGATAGTTAAATCTATATTTATGCAGTCGATCAGTTCATCAAGCGACGAAGACGTCATCGCTCTTGTTGCTTGTGGCGTCATCTTCCATGTGCTGGGGTGATTCAAATATAATATTAAATTTGTTTAAACAAATCCCCCCAGATCAGACATTTCTTATAAATTAACACCACCAACAAATTAAAGCCTTCAGCGACAAACAGATTGCCCGGCAGAATTTTCTGAGAACTGTCCACGACATATTTTAGCAGTCACAGCTCATCCTGTGTTAATTAGTACTGTCATTTTACTGTTTTACTATAGCTGAAAAAAAAACTTCAACGCATGCTTGGAAATTAATTAAGTACTAATCTGTTTGCTAGCGTAATGATTCCTAAAAAAAAAAGTTTGCCTGATGCACATATACATAGGCTGTGTTTAGATCCAAAGTTTAGATCTAAACTTCAGTTCTTTTCCATCACATCAACCTGTCATACACACACAACTTTTCAGTCACATCATCTCCAATTTCAATCAAAATCTAAACTTTGCGCTGAACTAAACACAGACATATTGCAGTCTTGGAATTATTAGGATGGTAAATAACCAACCTAATTAATTAACTAAGAACAGATTAATAGCTGTATCATGTAAACATGGTTATTGGAGTAGTACAACTGTGTGCAGGAAGTACCAGATTGTAGTACAAAGTGTTAAGAGGCAACTTGCAATTAATTCCGGTGACATCGATCGTTGTCTTGCTTATATATATAACACGGAATCGTTAGCCATGGTTTGCCGTGAAACTTTCTCAACAAACAATGCTAAATAAGGTTAGCTAATTAAGCTAGTTGGTCAAGGGGAAGAATCGGTCATCAGATCAGAAGAATCCACAGCTAGCCTCGTCAGATATACACTTTTTTTTTTTCAATTCTAGAGGAGACTTTAAGTTTAGTCAGAGCTGCTCAAGGATGGTAAAAGTCCTATCATCTAATATGCTTGGTTAAACTTATTTGCAATTTGTATGTAATGCAAGCAAATTTAAACCCCGACCAAAAACTGCCAAACATTAGAAATTCCGCCAAGTCAATATAAGAGAGTCATCCAGAAAAACCAACCCCAAGAATTCGTAACTGTTCTTCTTTTCTTGAGAAAAATCAAATGTGCTCTTGGCGACTTCAAAAGGTGCTAGGTTACCTTTCATAGTCACGCATTTTCCCCTGTTGGGTAGCAGAGAAGAAGTTGTACACAGCACCAGCTGCTCATTTTACCATAAGTTTTTGCAAGTTGTAATGCAACAGGCACAATGATTATGAATTATCTGAACTTTTTAGAGTTCAGTAACCCTGTCCATGCTTGCAAGTGGGCACGTTGAACACGTTCTTCCCACTCTGGCACCCTGTTTCCCCCTTCATTCAGCAAGTGGTGATCATGCACTGATCTGCAAGTCCTTTGCAAATATTTTTATATTCAGACATGAAAGTGAAATGAAGAGTAGTTGGAGATCAGATTAATTCCAAATATAGAGGCAGATCAGTAGCTGGTGCTCCTGTTTGAGAAAAAGGAACACATGGATTCCAGACAAGGTCCATCCAGAGAATCTTCAAATCTCAGATATATATATGGTGACAGATACAAGGCGATTTTGTTCTCCCAATTCATCATTTTTCAAGGTCACATGTTGGAACTGGGAACATGCACTTGCATGATGAAGTCAGGGTAAGCCAAAAGCATATCCTTTTGGTCTCCACTTGTGTCACAATTAACAAGAGTATATGTCAAGTAGTCCAATCTGGCAATCTTTGTCTAAAACAAATTGGAAGGAGGATGCACACAAGTCTGTACAGATAAGGATGGAAGTTCTCATTATTTCATTAGGAGATGCAATTGAAATCCAACAATCCGTGTTGAAACTATACCGTATAGAAGTCAACAAAAATGACAAAAGCAGAAAGCTTATGGTTGAGAAACATTCGAGATAATTAGTTTGTGGCAAACAAATGAAAATTTTCAAAAATAATTTGAACTAGATTAGTGGTTCAGATCCCTCATGGACCCCTATGGACTGAACTAAAGTTATATGGATAAAAATGCAGTTGGTAAAATATGACCCAGAAAAATGAACCAAAATTCCACTTATTACCTTCCCCAGACTATAATGCATAATAAGGATAATACCCTTTTATGAAGAAAGTTTAGCAGTCGCTTAAATGCTAATCAAAAGTCTATGAGATACGGTTTAAAAGCAGTCTATAGGAGCTGCTTGGCAAGCATTAAGATACAACACACAATAAATTGAGTTTGTGAGGTAATGCATTGGAAGGTCTGAAGTCCTATGGTAGCTCGGATGTAAATTTAACTTCTGACTTGGTAGAGGCCAGCAACCAGGTGGAAAGCAAATCATGTCGATGCTTCGCTCTCAAGACGAATCCTCTTGGTACCAACCTCATCGCTAGCCGGTACCCTGTTCTCCTTCGCTTCCACTGAGCACCTCTTGTATGGTTTGAAACCGGTCCTGCGAGATTTCAGCTTCAGGTTTGACAATTCATTAGGAAAGGAAGCTCTTGGCTCATCCGCTGTGTCGAGTTCTTGATCAATAATAGCGGCATTCTTGTTGAGGTCAACCGTCACCGTGGTTACTTCATCTTCTTCCTCCTTGCTAATCTCCTTTGATCCTTCTACTTGCGGAGGAGAAAAGCTTTGGGGAAGCCTTTCTCTACTGAACAGTGCATCAAAAGCCAGACGACCCTGACAGCAGAAATGTGAATTAGAAAAGCAGTGATGGATGTTCAGCGAGTAAGATAAATGTGAATATGCGGAATGCTGGTAGACGACCACCTCTTCAGAAACTTCCTTCCATGAATCACTTGTGCTTGCACTGCTCCTAAATCTACGGTGGTTATTGTCACCGGCTGAAGAGTTACTGCAAGATGCTTGCTTTGCCTTGTCGTTAGCCTTTTCTTGATTCTCAGGAGCATTATCTGCTTCTATATCACTACTTGACGGTGTGTTGGAACCACATGAAGAGCGATCCTGCTTTTTCTTATTTCCAAAAACGTCACTTGTTTCAGCTCCTGCGGCAGGTTTGGTGTCGGCCTTATCTGCTGGAGATATCTTTAACTCAGTGTGGAGCGACACTTCTCCTTTTCCACTCTCATCAGTCTCTGAAGACACTATGACCTTCATAGCTTCAAAATTATCTTGTTTCCGAGTTTCTTGCAATTCCTTCTGTGCATTATCCATTGGGCAGTCTATATCTTTCTCTTGAGCTCGCTGAACATCTGCTGTGGAAAAGGGAGCACTAGGAGCTGGAACAAATGGAAAAGCTATAGGTGGAGGAAAAAGAGGGAGAAGACCTTGTGTTGCCCACCATGCTGATGCTGCAGCAACTGTAGCTGTGACAATAGATGCCATGTTGGGAGGAGAGCCAGCGTGGCTTCCTTGAGCACTCTCAGAAA